ACTGTGGGGGTATATGTACGGTACATGTGTACTGTGGGGGTATATGTACGGTACATGTGTACTGTGGGGGTATATGTACGGTACATGTGTACTGTGGGGGTATATGTGTACTGTGGGGGTATATGTACAGTACATGTGTACTGTGGGGGTATATGTGGGGGTATATGTATGGTACATGTGTACTATGGGGGTATATGTACGGTACATGTGTACTGTCGGAGTCTTACCTTCCTGGCGAAGGTGGGTACATTATGTACTGTTGTGGGTGTATATGTATGGTACACGTGAATGTGGGGGTCTTACCTTCCTGGCTAATGTAGGTGTATGTGTACGGTACATGTGTACTGTGGGGGGTATATGTGGGGTACATGTGTACTGTGGGGGTATATGTATGGTACATGTGTACTGTGGGGGTATATGTGGGGTACATGTGTACTGTGGGGGTATATGTGGGGTACATGTGTACTGTGGGGGTATATGTGTACTGTGGGGGTATATGTACAGTACATGTGTACTGTGGGGGTATATGTATGGTACATGTGTACTATGGGGGTATATGTACGGTACATGTGTACTGTCGGAGTCTTACCTTCCTGGCGAAGGTGGGTACATTATGTACTGTTGTGGGTGTATATGTATGGTACACGTGAATGTGGGGGTCTTACCTTCCTGGCTAATGTAGGTGTATGTGTACGGTACATGTGTACTGTGGGGGTATATGTGGGGTACATGTGTACTGTGGGGGTATATGTATGGTACATGTGTACTGTGGGGGTATATGTGGGGTACATGTGTACTGTGGGGGTATATGTGGGGTACATGTGTACTGTGGGGGTATGTGTACGGTACATGTGTACTGTGGGGGTATATGCACGGTTCATGTGTATGTGGGGGTATATGTGTACTGTGGGGGTATATGTGGGGTACATGTGTACTGTGGGGGTATATGTGTGGGTATATGTGTACTGTTGTGGGGGTCTGGTACAATTTTCGTGTCTGAGATTGGGGGACCGTACTGTATACATTTTGATTCCAGATGATAGACCGAGGATAATTGTCTTATGTTTTCATCATACACTTGCGTCATTTGTGTGTCTTTGTTTGTGTATACCTGCAGGTGAAGAAACTCAAGTGACCGACGGGAAGGACTTCCACGACTTCCACAGACAGGAAGGTCTTACAGAGACAGGAAGGACTTACACGACTCTCACACTTTCTTACAGTTCTGTTTTTATTTATAAACTTTGTGCCATGGCTCTGAGGATTTTGGTTCGAGTCCATAAGTCATATATTGCTTTAGATACAGATGAGCACTCTACAGTGACAACAAAGATGGTTCCAGTAGGGAACGGGATAGAGGGTGCCCACGTCCCTTGTGACTCATTGGAGCAGAGGAAGATAGGAATAACGCTAACATTACTTGAACGCAATCCCACATCATCACTCATCGCCACCATTATTGTTAAAATGATTCTTCTTTCCTATCAAACAACTATCTTCTTTATCCCTCCTACTTCTTTTTTGTATTTGTTACTCTCTTGTAACACCTCTAATCTTTGGCACTTATATGACCTTATTGTGGTTGCAAGTGCTGTAAAACACTTACTAAAACTAAAACCAGGTGTAATTACAGGCAACAACCGACCGTTAAATCTAGCACTACTCTTTGCCCCGGGAGATCGAATTCTGTGCCCAGTGAATCACGAACAGACCCTATATCACAAAGGGGTTAAGCTGAGAATATTTCTGAGTGTGCTGGGGGGGGGGGGGGGGGAAATTGCGCATGTTTCATCCTGTTACGCTGCA